CACACACACACACACACACGCGTGACATTCAAATCGATGGAGCAAAAGTTCATACGACTCCTGGATCCGTACCTGGTTTCGCGCCACGCGATCTATGCCGATCACGACACGATCGAACATACGAGTACAAAGTTGACTACATCGTGTCGTATCGATCCTCTGGATCTCTGGATCACAGGACGGATAAACACAATTTCCTTCGAACGAACCTGAACAAGTTCGGGTCCTGTTCATCCAACGATCATCCTCGTTAGGTTAGGATCGGCGATGACAATCGATTCCGAAAGGACTCGTCGATGCGCCAGTTTCTCATGATGCGCCGTTCTATAGCTGTCAAGGAACTTTCACGGCCCTGAGAGAACGAACGAACGCGCTCCAACTTGGTCCTTGACCGTTTCTCGCGATCCCTTTAATAAATTACGCCAACGAGCGATATGGAAAGCGATTGGAACGCGGCCATTCCTCTCTCTCTCTCTCTCTCTTCTCGCCGGTTAATCTGCGTTGCGATCGAGGCCCGTGATCGAGAGATGAAAAATCGCACAATCGTCCGCCACCATCGGGACTCAATTACGGCCACGATCAGATACGCCGCCCAATCACCCGTTTAGACCAACTTTTTCTTCGCGTGAAATCGACGTGGAAAACGCGAAGGATATACCAGAGCTGGTAAGAAAACTATATGGATATTGTTTCTTTCAATTATCGAATCTTGAAGGAACGAGAAGGTATTAAAGTGGTATTTCTTTTGTTCCAATTCGTTTCATAAGATATGATGGAAGGAATGCTTAGAAATCTTGATATATCGATGGGTGCTTATCGATTTTAAGATTTTAATGTTTTTTAATTGTAAAGCATTTGCATACCACGATCACAGTTTATTATATACCAATTAATTAGATTCAAGTATTAATTATATTCAATATTAAACTAATATTTATTCAAATATTTGTTCTAGGTAAAATATTTTCGTGAGATACATTTGGAGGATCGATTTCGAGAAGGAGATCAAAACAATAATAATACAGTAGACGCTCGTGATTCATACATTGCAAGAAATCAAGCTGTATGGAAACTTTTCTCGTATAAGAAAATAATCTGCTTAACTAAAGCAGATTTAATTCCTGTGTTTATTATTTGGTTGTACGAAGAATCGCGTTATATGAAAACTATAATAGTCAATGCAATAATAAACAAGAAATACAATAGTAAGTAATTTAAATTCTCACTCTAATTCTTCTTCATACATCAATTTTTATTTTAAGAATAAACCTTTTAAAATATTCTAATATTTAAATTATAGATACTTCGAGTCTGAATTTCGATTCACACGTTTATATTTTAGTGATTCCACTATTAGAACGGATCTATCAATAGCATCAAACCTCGATCATATCGAAAGCTGATCGAGTTTCACGAGGAATTCATCATGTTCCGATTTGACGAGACGGAAGATCGAGGCGTTAAGGCCCGTGTCCACGAGCGACTTTATTATCTGCGAAACAATAAAATCGCCCGATAAGGATCTTCCTTGGCGCGCCCCGGTGGAGGCCCTGAAATATTTCCTCCGAGGACCGAGGCGCGGATGTCCGATTGAAATCGATTTATGGCCCAGCGACAGACGAGATATCGCTCGGGGCGGGGTCGAATCGAGACGCAGCGCGCGAGAGTTTCGGAACGTGGGAAGTTCGCGATTATTTTTCATTTCTTTTTTTTTTTCTTTCTTTCTTATTTCTCCGACTGTTCACCGGGGACAAGGAGGAGATATACGAGTCGGGTAGGAAGATCGGGCGGGTGAGTCACCTATAAAGG